TTTGACAAAGCAAAACAGGAGAAAAAGCTCTAGAAGCATATTGCAAGGATGGTCAAAACCAATATAACAGCAGCACTGAAGGCCAGACTTTGCTCCCACTTAGTACCATCTGTACCAAAGCAATGGTACTGTATTCACTTGAAATATGCTCAATTCACACCAGCAAAACTGAGAGTGCAATCTGGCACTTTTTGGTATGATAACAATTTTGGAATCTTGCCCTGCTACTCACTTGCGTGCTTTATCAGTATTGACACAGAAGGTATGAAGGTGGGATGTTAGTTATTTTTGAAGCTTTGCTCACATCTTGCCAATTCTGTGTTTACTGTCTAAAGCTGGGAAGGGGAGGAGGACTTTTATATTCCTCCTCCTTCCACGTGTTACTCTATGAAAAAATCTCCTGCTTGCCTACCATCACTTCATTTTTCAATGTCTCTCACACTAGCTGTTACTTTGCGCACAAATTTGAATTGATCATCAGCTGAAGATTTGCAGACAGCATAAAGCCACAGATTTCACACACTTTCTGTGTTGAATTCTGTATCTGATAACATGGAATAATTCTTCCTTATTCTGACAAGATGGCTATTTGAGAGGTTGGTGAACACAGTACTCCAGCTACATTAAAAATGGAGGCTACTACAATTTGAACACCTTTACATTTCTCAAATAAAACCCCATTAGAGAGACAAATCATCAACATAGAGTTTGAGCAGTCAATGGAGAGTGTGACATGAAGCGAGTAAAGACAGCTGAGTGTTCCATGACCACCTTTTATACTTTTGTGGGTCTCCAAGCACTTCACTGTTTTAAATCACATGATCACCCATCCTGCAAACCTAATATTCTGTATTTTATTAACTATAGTTTTATACCTCTACTATGTTTGCCTATGGGAAATCAGTAAATCAGAGCAAAGACTTCTGCAGTTGATTACTGGGCAATAAACTGGCAGAGTAGTATACCATAAATCAAGCTGATAGTTCAGGGGCTGGACATGAATCTGATTTTTTTTTTGTTTGATTCCCCCCTCCCAATATTTCATTTCTCAGATCAAATTTAATCTCTCACTCAAATGAACTGGAAAGAATTTCTGGCATGCAATACCCACTGGTGCATTAGAAAGTACTGACATTTACATGAGAGTCCTAATACTCCTTAAACATGTTGAAGTATTCAGGAGTCTACTAGAGAAAGAAGCAAGAACATCTTCAAGTAACAATGCAACATATATTTTCCAGCAGCCTAAGGCAAGGAAACGGCTGCCTCTCTTCGCACAGCAAAACACCTACAGGAGATTCAGCAGCAAACTTTGATAAAGCATGGCCAAATGGATAAAAAAAATATTAAAATCCTTACATGTTCATTTTCATTAATGTATTTTTACAGTGCCTTTGTAATTCCTACTGCCATAATCCTGACACATAAAAGGAGGTGTAAGATTATATTATACCTTGATAGGGGATATGATACACCTTAAAAAACCTAACCAGTATTACATGCAAGTGCACTGAGATCTGTGGTCTCAATTCTGACGAACTTAAGCCTTATTCAGGAATCTCACTGAACACTGCTACAACAATTTAAGTCAGTTCACATGTGTATTTCCTGTACAGCATCCCACTAAAACAGTATGCAAAATTTTTTCTGTTCTGACAGAGGACCTGCTTTTAAACCAGCTCATTAAAAACCAACATTCCCAGCATTCAGAAAACAAAGACAGCAAGAAAATTGCTTCTCCCAAAGCTATTATTTCAGAGCAGTGAAGTCTGCTGAGGGCTACTGAATTATCATCAGATCATCTGAAGCAGGAAGCCAGTTACACTACAGTTTACCAGACTACAAGATCTGCAAAGTGCTGCTGAATATGAATAGAAAAAGAATTAAAATATTCATTCTGACCTTACAGAGACCAAGACTCCCTCTCTCCAAGGTTACTGCATGCCGAAGTAATAGCTGTTGTTCATCTACCTGAAGATCAAATGTTTCTCAAGGCATGTTCAGTAACTTCTAACATAATCTTATTCCACACAAAAGGAAATTGGTTATTTGTATGTTATCCAAGGAAGGCTGAGTAATTCACTGTGGTAGGAAAGACCTCTAAAAATAAGTCACCTCTCAGCAGATTCCCTCCCTTCCTGTCTGGGTTTGATTGCCACTGCATGAAAGGACAAAGCTTTAGGGTGAACTACAGAGAACTTCTGTAATGATGACACTGCTCACATACATTCATTTCACTCCTACTCTGTATAAAAGAATCCAGCTATTAGAGGTGGAGCAAGTCAGTGACCCAACAGGATGTGCATGACTAGAGTACCTCGTGTAGCCTTCTGCTTTCATGTTTATTTTTGGATGTATTTTCCTTTGTGCTTTGAAACAGATTTCGGGGCGAGGTAGATAGAACCACACTCACTGATGCTGAAGAGGGAAAAGCAAGTTCTTAACAGGAAGAGTACTTCTTCCTACAGATATGTAGTGTACCTTGGAAGTCCACAGTGTTGTAACAATGATGAACAACTTTTTTCATGTTTGTTAATACTCCTCAGAGATGAAGGACAGGGACAATTGGTGCACAAAGGCATGTCACCAGTGATTCCCATAACCTCCTAGAGCTTCCTCATCAGGAAACAGTGTTCAGCTGTGTGAGAACCTAACCAGAGATATCATCTTCAAGTTGCTATAACAGCTGTTGACAGAAAACAACTCTCCAAGGATGACTAAGCTTAGAAGTTCAACAGATGTTCCCAAACAGGATGCTACTTTAACAGAGAAAATACTAGGCCATTTTAACTGGTAATTGCTCTTATCAGGACAATAACTTGTTTTGACCAGCATTCCCTGCCTTATAATTTCAGATCATAGAAAAAGTTTCTGTATTGAAAAGGTTGATTAACTTGTATATTACAGAAGGCATCTTATTCTATTTTTGATAAAGCATATCCTTACCTTTGCTAATAGCAATTAATACACTTTGCTGCATATCATGCATTAAATATGTTAATAAGCCACGTCTGTGAAACATTCCATCAATGCAATTGTTTCTTAGCGTTAACAGACCTAATATAGGAAAAGATACTTTTCAATTTAAACAAAACTCAGAAGTCTGTAAATTCATAATATGAAGTTACACAGATTCTGAAAAGTTTATCCAAAATTAGAAATAGCTATGTATTATATCTTGCTCTCTTCAAAGTAAATTTCACAAAGGAAAAAAAAAAACAAACCACCAAACAAAAACAACAAAAACCACACCCCAGAACAAACCCAAAACTAACCTTATTTCTATATAAAAATGTATTTTTTGCACTCCTATTATTAACTGTAAAAATCCTACATTCATAAAAGCAGTAACCATTTTAAGGATTCCAACCCTTTAGTTTATCTAGATTGTTCTTAAACTACAGTATTACATTATTTTGGAATTATTCAACTACTTTTTATGAAGAAACTGTTTCCTTATGGAATTAAATTCTCATTATCTGAAGAGCTGAAATTTGTATGCACTAGATTTTAGCTTTTATGGTATCTGGATTGTGATAACACTAGCATGGGTGCCTTTTCCCATTTTCCCCATGACACTGCTGATATTAAGTATCTGTGATCCATTCTTGACTTGGTGTGGGTTTTTATTAGAACAAATTTTGAAAGTCACCTGAATGGCATGTCATTGTATCAACAGCTCTTTCCCCATATGGGCTTTGTCACAGCAAAGATATATGAATCTTAGGATAATGAAGGCAAAACAATACAGTATCTATAACTTAGCAAGAAGTTTCCCCTGAAGAAAAGTATTTCCTTTACTTTAGATAATACTAATAACCAACTGCTGTTACTGCTAGTGTATTTTGGGGGAATTTATTAAATAATTTTCTGTTTGTCCTGAATATTATTACACCTTAGCTGCAGTTTACAGAGGCTTTGGGGTTTGAAGATTACAAAGAAACAAATACTGCCTTGAAAAAAAAAATTAATTCTACCTCAGACTAACCAGCAAAGCTGTATTTCATGGCATAATTTTCCACTCACTAAGAGCACAGACATAGCTTCCTTGAAAGCAAGCACACCGGAATACATTAAAAGTTCACTGTAAAACTGCATACAAAAGGCAAAGAAGCACCACAAAACTAAAATGTGGCCCCTGACATGTGCAGCACCTGGGACATGCTTTACTGCACAGCTTCATAAAACCTGCAATATACAAGATGTGTGCTAAGGTTCTCTAGGATAGCTCCCAATACTTGCAACGCACGTGACCTTTTCCAAAAGCATCTATCATCAAAAAACTCATAAAAATCAGAAAAATTGCTAAACAACATTGCATTAGTGATAGAAGAGCAAATTGCATTGGCATTTTTGTTTTAAAATAACTTTAAATGTTTGAAGGTTCAAAATTTTTAAGAAGGAACTTAACCTCCACTTCCCCAGTAGTTCTGATGGGAAAGCAACAAATTGAATGCTTAGTAGGAAAGTCATATGCATAGAAGAAATGACTATGCTTATACCAATTAAAAGTGAATTATAAACATGTTACTTGAGAAACCTACAATTGGGTTTATTGTCCTCCATCATGAACTTATAAAGCAATACATACATTAAAAATTTCTGACTAGTGGCAAATGTAGCAGATGTTAAAACAGATGAGACCACTGGCGTATTGAATCTCTCAATATCAGAGTATATTAAGGATAGAATTTCCTCATAAATACTGGCAATAAAAGCATGTTCAAGGCTAAAAAAGCAACACCTGCTGCATGCAAATAAATTCCACCAGAAATTTCACCTTAGTTATTTCATTAGAACAGACCCACAAGAAAGAAATACAGGAGTATGTAATAATGCAGAATATGAAGCACTAAAAAGAAAAGGACTTTCCTTTTTGTCCAAACTAATTTAAAAGGGTTATTACTTTGCTTACAGTATAAATGTTCTTATATTTCATTACAAACACTTAAAGGTTAAATCACTTTTTCTGCATAAACTGCAAATAAACTTGAACCTACCTCCCAAAGTGTTTTAAAGTCCTTCTGCTCAATTCGAAGAAGCTCGCTGTATTCTCTTGTAACAATGGTAGCATGGCGAGGAGTGTTATCCAGAATGGACTCTCCAAAAGCAGTTCCTATTCCCAGAGTGCATATTGTCACAGCATCCTTTGAAATAAATAATAATAAAATTAATAAATATATAATAAAAGGACTACAGAATAATAGAAGTAATAAAAAGACACATATTAAATATTCCAGGATGTCTTAAGAGTCTTTGTGTCACATTCAGTGATAACACTGCCTTAAGACTCTTCAGCAATTTACTTGAAAATAAAAGCGCCAACAAAAAAAAAAAATTAATATGCTGATTAACAACACAGAAAGCTTCAATGTGGAAGCAAGTAGCTCTGTTTACTATGACCATCAGTTGAATTAGACATTTCTGTGTGCAAAACAGAGAACAAAAGAGTGACTTTCACCTTTGGAAGAAAGTTATGACCTCTGTCCATCTACCTCTAAAGACTGTTATGATGATGGGATTCTTTTGAAATGTCAAAGGTGATGAGAAGATAACGAGATGTAATCTTGGAATATAAATTTCTGCCCTATGTAGACTACCCTCATTAGAAAGAAAATTTAACTGTTTTCTCTGCAAACATAACTTTCAACTATATTCTCTTGTATTTATAATGTGTTTCTCTGCTGTGTAAGGTCTGTGCCCAGTGCAATCGTACAATTTAACCAACTCTTGACCCTTCTGTTGAATATGCCAGTAAACCTCTCAATTGTTAATGCTTGCCAATTAAATACCAGACTAACAAAAAGAAAAATAGTATTATTTTCACATAAATCAGGGATATCAAGAAAACTACTGAAGTCCAAAACAACCTGGAATAGAATATTCAGGATGGTCCCACACATGGAGAAAAGAGCCTACGTGAGCACATGCTATTCAAGTGACAGAAAGATGTCTAAATCAAGCCTCTTTGGCCAGGAACTCCTCTGTAATAGCTCTAGTATAAATTATGAGCTTCTGTGGAGAAAAAAATCAAGATTACTAGCAATTAAGTAACTTGCTGAATCAAGATCTTTAGATACATGTTCTGCTTAGGCTTACAAATTGCTATGTTCCTGAGTACACGCTTGAAGCTGAACGATTACGCATGTCTCTTTCTAAGCTGGGCTTTAACTGACTGCCTTCTGAGTAATTAAAAAAGATAGCAACAGCATTACAAATTTAAATGGATACAAAATACACTTTACTAAAGAAATCGTACATGCACACAGGCAAATTCACATAAACTTATAAAAACACATGCTCATTTGACTGGATACAACATTGGGAATATAGTTTAATTCTAAAAATGTAGGATTCATGAAATGCCTACAAAAACAAAGGCAGAAAAATTTGTCATCCCATCCACTACATCCTTGTGGCTGATAATGCAAGAAAGATGCATGAGCATATTTCAGCATCATTTTTTGTGTTTAAAATTGCATTGTTTTCCTTTCATGCATCTAATAAGTGGTAATAGGCAAATGTTATTAAGATCAAGTTAGTAGCTTTATAATTGCATTACGAAGACAAATGCCCATAATAGTCCAGTTCCCTGAACCATAGCAAATTGCTTTTGCACAGATATTACCATACGAAATCGTGTGTTCAGGAAAACAAAAATCAATTACCTCTTAGAAAAGATCAAGGAAAAATTTACCCACTGTCAGAAATAAATTTTCAAGGAAGGTAAATATGAACAGGCATTGTCCAAAAGAAACAATATTTGCGAATGAGTACCTAGACACCTAAACAGAAGTCTCTATGAATAGCCTAAAACAGGCTACACATTAAAGTTCCACCTTAACAAGCTTACCTTTCAGATCTGAAACACTATATGCATGCTACCATACTCACAACTGCACTCAAAAGAGCTACAAATACAATGTGCCTACTGCTCTTACAAAATTTAATCTCCAGATGTCCAATACATTATTCTCAACTTCATTTAGAAAGTTCAGACAAAAAATCTCTGTTTAGAGCAGAATAACCAAATAGCCTGGCAGAAAAAGAAAATTTTCCATATTGTAAATAAGCAATATTTACTTTTTCCAGCTTCTTTCTGACTCCCTTCCCTCACTCCAAAAAAAAATACACTCCTTTGTAAACACCTCACCTTTTTTGATTCTTTACAATATTGAAGACCGTATCTTTAAAGACAGAACACAGAAATCAATCACTTCCTAAGACAAAGATAAGGCAGCTGTTCAGCCTAAGAAATAAATTAACAGTTGTGGGGCACTAAGTCAAGGAGCTGGAATAGCCTTAATAGAGTCCAGGCTTCTACCAAGTGAAAGCTCTTCCAGGTTTTTTCCCTAGCTGTCATTGCTCTCCATAGAGATGCAGTTTTGCAGCCAGCTAGGGAGCAAGTCCATCTGTTTTCTTAAAGACTTCAGAGCCCCATTTTCCCTCTGCCCCTTGTTTATACGTCTCCAGCCTCCTGAGGAATCAGGTGTGCATCTCCTACTACACCTGTTAACCTTACAGTCAAGAATCTCCTGCTGTTCAGTGTAGACTTCAAAACTCAGTTTGGTGTTCCCCTCTGCAATCCCAGGAACAGCAGGGGGTTCTAGCTGCTGGTAACCAGCTAAAATTCACACAGCTATTTAAAAGGCAGTATTAGAGACTTAAAAAGACGTGATTGTTTCCACTGCTATCTGTCCTCTGAATGCACTGTAAAATGTGACATAAAAAAAGGATCATAAAATGGTAGTGGTCAAAATAGGTTTAAAAAAATATGAGAGCTAGGTTGGAAGAGATTTGAGACTTTTCATTTAAATATTATTCAGTGTTTTGCTTGGTTCGTTTTAATGTCACCATTTTCCCACACCTTATACGTTTATCTCACCTCTGCATCTGTGTCCCTCCAGGATTCCATACCATCTCCATGTTTAATTGGAGAACTGCAAAAGCTGGCATTTTGAAAAGTTTGCTTACTATTACTTTGGCACACTTCAGTTTGTCCTCAGAAAAAATTCCTTTTATAACAGAGAAACCAAAGGATGCAAACTGAAGTAAACTATCTGTTCTATTATGTGATTTTCCTGTTCTATTACCTCCACTGGAGTATGTTTCAGCTATTCAGATAGGAAATCCTTAATAAACTTCTTCTAATGACAATACAGAAATATCTTCCCACTCCAGAACTGCAGTTTGCCAATATATTTAGGTCATCCTCTTTACACTATACAAGATGATTTGCCTAAAGTAGGCATTATGATTCTAGAAAAACTGTAACCAACATCTCTTCTAGTTCCTAATTAAAATATTTACAGATCAGATTAACTGTACTATAATAAAATATTCATTATTTCCACACCTTCCTCCCAAATCCTCTAAAAGCAACCTGCAATGTCTTGGATTTCTTCCTAGGTTACCCAGTAGACACAAGTGAAATGATTTCTCTATATTAACTCTCAATAAGCTAAGTTCAAAACCAAAATTAGTACAACCACAACACTATGGAGCTCAGCATGGGCCACCACACATTCCTTCTCAGCTGAGTACATTAGTCCAGCCAAACTCTGTTCTGATGGGCAGGGCAGTTCTCATGCTCAAAATAAGTAATTTAAAGCTAGGTTGGGCATATTTACACTACACTACAGACTGACCACAGTACAAACCTATGTTGTGGCTTCACATTGTTTCATCTCCAAAATGCATAGTACTATGTATACATACATAAGTGCATTCACATGAAGAAAGCAGTACTGCAAGGACTGTCCTGTTTAAGTCCCTTTCCTTGTTTCCATTTCATCTTATCACAGCCAGGATATTCTTCCCTTTCCTACATGGACGTCTGAGCCTCTTTCTTCACAGTCTTTTCAGCAACCCCACTAATTTACTTGGCTTTTGATCCCCAGTCCTCTGTATCTTCCTACAACTGATGCTGCTGTACCACCTAAGCACCCACAGCTCCTCCTTTAAAGCTTTTCTAAAAAAGGCAAGTAAAGTCAATGCCCTCTGTTCAGTTGGGTCTGTTTTTAAAAACTGATCAGCTTAAAAAAACTCCACCAAAACACAGGCAAGATTAACTTGCAATAGCCCCCAGCACACACAATGATTTATCCAGCAGACTACAACAAAACTGCAAATTAAAATGCTATTTGGTATTTGTCTTTCTTCTCTTCATTCCGTTCCTTTTACCAGGTAGGAATATAAATCTTAACCATTTGAGGTAAAAGGCTCAGAATGTAATTCAGTAAAACACAGTGTTGCATAATCTGATAAAGATGTCACACTGATGCTTTTTTCATAACGCATTTATTCCCAGCTTTATTCTGAGACATCACCATCAGCTATCTTTCAGAACCTGTTCATTTTCAAAACAGAGTTCAAAAATTAAACATACACAGGGCAGTAAGCAGTATTTTTAAGACTACACTAAACTAGGAATATCTCTAAGAGGAACTTCCATTAGTATATACCTTGGTTGTAACATCAGATAGGTAACAGTGTCAAAAATTAAATTCTGAATCTGTTCATACTTATAGAATCATAGAATCGTTAGGGTTGGAAAGGACCTTAAGATCATCTAGTTCCAACCCCCCTGCCATGGGCAGGGACACCTCACACTAAACCATATCACCCAAGGCCTCGTCCAACCTGGCCTTGAACACTGCCAGGGATAGAGCATTCACAACCTCCCTGGGCAGCCTATTCCAGTGCCTCACCACCCTAACAGGAAAGAATTTCCTTCTTATATCCAACCTAAACTTCCCCTGTTTAAGTTTTAACCCATTACCCCTTGTCCTGTCACTACAGTCTCTAATGAAAAGTCCCTCTCCAGCATCCCTATAGGCCCCCTTCAGATACTGGAAGGCTGCTATGAGGTCTCCACGCAGCCTTCTCTTCTCCAGGCTGAAAAGCCCCAACTTCTTCAGCCTGTCTTCATACTTGAGGATCAAGACCTTTTTGTGACAGATTCTAAACAGGCTGTGTTTTCTGTTTATTTTGAAAGGGACTTACTAAATCTCTGCATGACTTTTAAGTGCCATATTGATCATATCAGTTACAAACAAGTTGAGTTCATTCACTTACCGCTGCAATTCATAGTGAGACCTTTTTACATAAAAACTAAAGTCTTCTTCAGTCTCTTCTTGACTGTTGAATACTCAGAAAACTCATAGTTTGTAGAAAGCAGACCAGTTACCACTCAGGAGGTACTGGATGGGTAATGCTGCCAGATCTCTGTATCTGTTTCAATGGCAAATGAAATCACCATCATGATCAGCAGCAGCTAACGTATTTTAGCACTTCAATGGCACAGAACTAACAGTAACGGAGAAATCTGTTCTGGCAGAACTCTTCAAAGCAGGTGTATCGTAAACTTCTGAAGACGATTTTCAAACTAGCCATTTTAGTATTAAACATTGCCTGTACTCTGTTATGTATTCTAACACTGCCCTCTTGTGACATAATACAGTTTAGCAAAGAGTCAGAAAGGATTTTTCCAAACCAATATGAAAGCAAGGCTTTATCTATGAGGTCCTAAATACGTGTGTTTTCCTTAAAATATTTAAATCAGTATATGGGATGCTTCCTCTTATCACAATAGCAAATAAGAAGTAATTTTAATATTTCTTTTTATATGCATTCTCAACTTGGTCCTCATCAGTATTAGTGACATTTTCTGTGAGAAATCACAGGTGGCTGCATGAGTAAGCTAATGTGCAGCAAGAATGTGCAGGAATTAATACTTCACTAGCTACACTGACATCTTGATCCATTAGCGCATTTAGATACAATTTCTAGTGCAAGACATGTAACTACATGCCTCTGTAGGCTCAAAGACCATTAAGACATTCTTAGTAAGCACCGAATGCAAAATAACTTACTGCACATTTAATGGAAGAAAGCTACCAAACATCACAGGTGTCTGCACAAAGAGTTAGCAGATGGTAGCTGCTACACAACACATTTATTGCCAGGCTTTCTGAAATATAAGTTCCCCAGTTAGACAAATAAACACTTAGTAAAAGAGGGACCAATATTTTCAATCAAGAGAATTGATTTTTCATATTTCCATTAACACTATAGGCATCATCTAATGGTAGGATAATCCAAGCTGTAAGAAGACATCTAGTACAACCTCCTGCTCATCTTAAGTATTAAAAGAGTCTTAGTAGCGTTTAAAGACTTTTTAACCAATAGGAAACTAAATACAGAATTAGCTTCTTTCTTCCTAGAAAAAATGGCATAGTCCTTCTGTACTACATGAGTGTACAAACTACTAAACTTGAAACTTCTGTATCTCTTCTGCTCTGCTGGAAGTTTCTCATTAGTGTTAGTGCCATTTATAATATTATAGTAACAGCAGAGCACTTAATCACTACTATGACTTTACAAAGGAAGCTTTGGCTCCTGGGTGCTGTTACTGGAAGATGTGCTCCAGGGTAGGTTACAAGCATCCCTACATCTTAAGCATGGGTCATCCATTCCTAGCTGCAAGCATAATGCTGTCCACTCTATTTCCTCCATCATCCAGGTTTGTAGTGAGCACAGCAGACAGGGAGTGCTAGCAAGCACTTCAAGCTCAAGAATGACCAGCACCATGCCAACAAGGAAGTACAGGCAAGACTGGAACAGGGCACCCAGCAGTTAAAGGCAGGAGACCAAGGATGGACAAGGAGAGCCATAGTATAAACACCAAGATGGAGCAAAACCAGAGAAAATATTAGACTCAAATAGTATCTAGGATTCCCCAACCATCAAACGTATCCAGCACTGGAATGGTTAATGAGCTGCTACCCTTTTGGCAGGGAGGCTGCATCCTATGGCAACTAGTCAGTGGTAAGAATTCAGTTCATTGCTCCTGTGAGAAGGAAATGTGAGGCTAAGAAATTACTGCAGAATGTAATTTCTAGAACTAGAACTACGTGAACTGTAGTTCTGTAGTTTCCAATAGGCAGGAAAATGGAGTGAACCTCAACAAGCAGAAAAAATATTTACGTTAAATTTCTTAAAAGGCTGAACTGTTCCAACCTCCATTTAATGGCATAAATCAACACTCCAAACAGATTCTTAATTTAACTTCCACATCTAGAACACTTCTATGCAAATACTTCCTTCTGATTCAGTAAAGAGCATTGGCTCTTAACCACAGTGTAGCGCCATGTTTTGGCAAATAGTGGAAAATATTCATGATTGCTTTAGACCTGCACAGAAACGGGTATTATTGCAAGAGCCCGGTACTATTCCAAATTGTGACAATACTGACGACAGCCAGGCCATGCTGAGAACTGCTAAAATTAGGCTAATTTTACTTTCAATCAGTCTCTACTTATTACAGTGAAGAGGTTTCTAAAAATAATTATATGAAAGAAGTCCCTTTTGTATCTATCATTTTACTGTAAGAAGCAGAAAGACCCAGTGCTCACACACCGCCCTGGCTTGCATTCTGACCCAATTTCACTGGTGATGCAGTGCTCAGCAAAGTGAAAAAAACAATTTCTTCTACGAGCAACAAACCTTCCCCATTCAGCCAAACTTTTGGCAAAGAATAAACCACCACCATCCCCTACGCATGGTACATTCAATCACGGTGGGGAAAAGAGTCCTGTGTAGCTATACTATTCATGTGAAGGCACAGAGACACGTGTCCAACCTTCTGCTGAGCTACATGATAGGACAATCCCAGATGTCAAACATGGGAGCAGGGAATGGGACATGATGACTTCCCAGAAGACTCAGTTCACAGCAGTAAGAGCAGGACGTGTCAGCATAACATTATATGACACAGGTGGGAGAGCTCCTCCAGGAAAAATATCTCATCTTTATTCTTTGTGTTTACTCTAAACTCCTAATTTTAAAATATAGGAGTGCCAAGATACTGAGAAACTGCTTGTAATTTGGTGGGAATTTCATTTGTTCTTCTATTTCTACTAAATAAGTATTGCCTCCAGGCTTCTGGTCTAAAGTGGCAGCAGTTCTAATACTCTCCACTCCTTGCATTGGAGACTGCAGTATGCTGTTATAAGACTGCACTGTTGGTGGGGTTTGAACTTTCTGAATAAGGCACATTTATAGGGAATGAATTAACAGCTCTTAGACCTCTAGCTTAATTTCATATGGCTCTATCAGGAAAGACAGAGAAGTCTTGCTTCATATTAAAATGTAGACCCCTTTCCAGAGCATTAAATTTCCGTTTTCTTCAAGTCAATGGTATGATTTGCCCCCATAGGCAAAGGACAGCTGAGACTATGGGATACTCAGAGAAACACACATGTAGTAAGACACAGTATCTGTAGATATATGTTACCTATGTTAGCATAAGTCATATCCTTTCTTTTTACTACTGACTGGATGGTTTCAATTAAAAATCTCTTTTACCTGGTGGTTGCTTGTATCAGAAACCTTCACATCCAGTGATCCTGTGAGAACAGCATACCAGTTCGTCCCAATATCACCCTGACGAAACACTGGAAAGATGAAATCTTGTAAATAAGAGCTACCTCTTTAAGTTCAGCAACATTAACAAGTATTTTCCCTTGTATTACTGTACTACTATAGTCACTTCTGGCAGTATAGAATTTGCTATGTCAGACTACTTACTTACTGTTCTAATAATATTTACAATGACACTAGAAATCACGTCTTTTAGTAAACTGGTTGATACACTATAGAAACAATGAAAATACATAGAATTGTTTTGCTCTTCTCCCCAGTTTGCTTCTTTTTTACCACTATCTTAGTTAACAAACAAAACAAAAAAAACAAAAAAAACTTTCTGAACAATGTCCCTTTGAAATTCAGAATTTTTCAATGCAGATACAGCTCCCACCGATTTCAGTAAGAGTTCTGGCTGAGAAGCAACTGCAAGACTTTGATGTTCAGGCATTCCAATTGTGTGATTACAGTATCAGAATTCCTATTATTCTAAGCAAACCCCAGTGCTGTATGCCTAAAGCCTGACAGATTTACCTAAGAGGTAGCTAAGACTCTACTAAATACCACAGGTCTCTATGACCTATTCACCTGGTACAGCTCTGGGAACTCACACATTCTCATCACAGGACCATCACTTACTTCCATCTCAGCTTCACAGACCGAGCACAGCTGTCTACCTTCATGTGGCAGACAGGCTGCCAGAGCAGGCACAGAGCTGTTGCACCCCACAGCAGTATGCAGCTCTGAAAATCTGTCTTGTGTTATTCTGAGTGACTGCAAACCACACACTGTTAGTGATATGCCTAGGTGATACACTTTTGCCCCGACATCAAAAAAAAGCACCTACAAGAGATCAATAACACATTTACAGGGGAAGAATGGGACTTAAGTGCAATGACTTGCTTCTAATCTTTCAACAGAACAGTGGCAGAGTCCCAAATCAAATAATGTGTGCCTTGTTACCATAGCTTCACTCCACACTGTATTTGTACAGCAAGCAGCACTTTAGTCCTGCCTTCCCGCATGACTATGACTGTAAATATTCTTATGACAGTTCCACTGATTGTGTTCTCTCATTGATCTCTTAGAGACATTCCCAGCCTATCCCCCTTTTTATCTACATAAAACAGTTCATTATATGAAGCTTTCTTACATGTGATTCCTTTTTCCAGATTTTCATAATATCCACAGAGACATATCTGCTGGAGAAGGTTTGGATGAAATTTCTCAAAAGCTTTCACTTCTTTCAGTCGTGTGAATATTATATCTACATCTTCACTAGAACGTTCCAAAGGTCTGAAAGAAAACAAAGGACAAAATTCTCAAGGGCTTTATCAGAGAAACATCCTCACCTGCACCAAATTTACAAATCTTTGCAATACGTTACACTATAAGATAAACAAATTGAAATGCATTTCACAGGTACCTAATGAAACCCTTCCAAAACATCCTAACAACTGCCCATTATCAACTTGAACACGATTATTATCATTTCAACACAGGCAGAGTCCAGAAGCCTCACTTAGCAACAAAGTCCTGCTGTAGCAATTACAGTGAAAGTATATATGATGATAACAGTCCTTACTCTAAAGAGCTTAGAATGATATATAGTTTTATATTTGTCATGGAACACAAATAAACAGATGTCCAAAAATATAAGATGTCTGTGAAATCAGTGCCCAAAACCTGGCTAAAAGAAAAAGCTTTTGATATCAGCCGTAACTCCTATACCCACATTTCTCTTCTGCATTTTGCTGGGTACAAACTAACTTGATGGTTCTAAGTACATAATTTTTCATGCAATTCCTGTCTCTTAATGTTGGACAAACTGAATGCAAGCGAGAATCTAAACTGTTCACTGGTACCTGTAAAGAGTTTTAATTCAAACATTTAAAATACTTACACCTATGATAGCAACAACTTCAAAAAAAAAAAACAAAACCCAAGATTTCAAGAAAAATTAAATGGTAGAACTCCCTCCAACAAAGCAGCTTGTAGACCAGCAGTTCAGCAGGCTCAGAAAACTACTACGTATTTGTGAAACTAAAGTAAATTAGCTCTGTAACATACATTTTAAATGTGATTATCAAATGTTATGAATCGGCAGGTAAGTCAACCACTAGCTAACAGCTTTAGAAAGAATCTTTCATAACAGATTAAACGCCTACCACTACACACAGAAAGAAACACAGAACATTCCCAGGAGATTATGTTGGATCGGATGCAGAAATCATTTCTGTATAAAGAGGTACCAGAATGATAGACAACTGTCAGTCATCATTAGACCTATCAATCACTCAAATGCTGCTAGTTAATTTTACTGACAAAAACGTTCTTTTAGCCAGTGGATGAACTTCTAAATGAACACAAGTCAGGTAGCTTACAATGAACAAAGGCTAAGTTCACAAACACATATCATTATCACCTTATTGTTACACTACAGTGTAAGCACTTCTTCCGACAGGATTTTTTCTTTAAAGATTCCTCTTCAGATTCAAAGACTTAGAGCTCTAATTTCTCTCAGGGAAGAGCCCAGATCCTACTCACATTGAATCTCTGTCTCTCATCTTTCTTAATAAATTAAGTCTAGGAGGGATTAAATCTCTATCCTCATTTATACTCCAATTTACCCTTGTATACAGTTGCTTCTACATCACAGTGACATCCTCTTACCACCTCAAACCACAACCAACTGAAGTAGCTCCCTTTTTAAGTATTTTAAGTAAGACTTTTACCCACTCCTTTTTTTTTTTTTTCACTGTGCATTAGCTGACAGGTACTAACAAGCATTAAACCTCTTGTCAAAATCCTTTTAAGAAGATTAGGATGTGTAGCTTGCAAACAGATTTAAAATCTGTTTATACAAGATCCCTACCTAAACTACACTGGCACCTGGAACAATAACTCCCTTAATTTGTGGACTCCTAAAAGTAACAGCAAAACCCACAAGAAGAAAAAAAAAAAAAAGAAAAAGGGAAATAATTCTGAGAATATCTCCTTTTCCTAGATAAACTAAGACTGTTTCACACACACAACTGCTCACACTGACTTTGTTCAAGTCCATCAGTTCATCTGCATAAAATTGACTGTAGGATCTCAGTGTTTAGCAATGTTAATTGTTTGATGCAGTTGAACAGGGAAAAAGTAAACAGGGTTAGCAAACAATATGCATCATGTTGTACAACTTAAATCAACACTGTTTTCTCAGGGCTCTTTTTGAAATGTGAGTGCAGAAATCTCTTCCACTCTGCTCCCATCAAAAAGAAAAATTTGAGGGGGATTTAATTCATAGACTGTGTAGCTTTTTTTCCTGAGAGCTGCTGAAGGCTCAAGTCACAGGGTTTCCATGTAGTTCAGAAGAAGGTGAGAGCAGGGCTCACTTCCACTGATGTGGCAAGGAGCGTCTTGTGTCAGACAGATGAACTACAGGAAAAGCTCTTTCTTCTGACAAAATTGTTTCATGACCCCAGTAAACTGAGACATCATGAAGGAAAAGTATTCTCACAGATAGCTAAACCATGCTCTTCAGAGTTGCAAACATCAGCACAGCAGTGAGAAATCAAACTCCATATTTATCGGGAAAGACAAATTACAGTCATGTGTTCCTAGTGGCTTACTTTAGCAAGTAGCTGTGCTACAGTACTTTGTATTAGCAATAGCTACTTCCACCTCGAGTCCATTAAGTGGACATTTGAAGGGGGACATATAGACATGCTTTGAACAAAAAGAAGAATCCAAACTTTTAAGTAATATGCATAGTAGTAATCTGAAAATTGTTGTATTCCTTACAATGTTTCTTAATAATTCAGTACTGCAAACCATTTGTTTCAATAGCCTCTCTTCAAAACACAAGGAGTGTAATGTTACTGTGTGCAACTAAATTTCCACAGCCAGCACGAAAACATGAAAGGAGTCTTAACTGTACCCAGGAATAACTATTGTCTCTCAAATGAGACACACAGACAAACATCTAGTGTAAAAATTGGCTGTTTGGTTAAGATCATGAATAAACATCCAAATTAACTAGCATCCACGTTGTTCGACAACACAATGACTTTGGATTTGATCAGAGCTCCTGAGAAAAGTCATCGACGTTTAGGAGTAAGGAATCCACTAACACTAGGCATCCCAAGCTGAGGCACAATTAATCCTTACTAGGACATGGAATTTTGCCTGTGTAAAAACTCCAGATTGCAGCATAAAAGTAATAGTAGTAGCATTCAAACTCATTTCTATTAAGTGCTTATAAAAAGCAAATGGACAGTTTTACTTAGTGAGAGAGCAGAAGAATAATAAAATACCATGACATCAGTTAACTGCTTTTCCACATGCCTGTAAAACTCAGGCAAAGTTTGACCACTTTCTACAAACCACCTTTTAATAAAATTATCATCACTGCAACTCTTAAATTAACATTTTTGAATCTATTTATGCTGCCAAATCTTGGGGTTTATTTCCTAAGTACAACCTGCCTAGCATGGAACACCACCAGTACAGGACAACAAAAATTTACTTCATTGCAGCTATCTTACTATATTGCTGTAAACTTGGCTTTTTAAAAGCATAGTTTGGAATAATATTTAAACAACTAATATTATAATGTATTCCTTACATTAATGATTAAACCTATTAATTAGAAAAGTACTACTCATGACAGATGCAGAATTTAATGTCACTGTAGTCACACTAGTAGGAGGCAACGGTATTAATTGAGAAAGGAACCATTCCCCAACACAAGGCAATGTGCTACAGAAGTCAACCCCCAGGAGGTGAATCCCCCTACACCCCTGGAAAGGCTTTTCCAGAGACTGCATCAAAGCATCACTGCTGTTCACTAGACAGCAATCCCACTGAGCATCTGCTAAGCTAGGGCTGATGAGGATGCCCTCCTGTTCTATTTTGTGATGCTGGTGTTGTTACCCTGCTGAAGTGTCCCCTCACTGCTGATGCTGCAGAATTATAACTGGATGTCCATTAGCTAAGATGTTATAAAATGCATTTCCGTGATACTTCAGGTCCCAGTGGATTTTCTGATAAAGCCATCCTTTCCTAAGTGTACTCCGGTTTCTGAAAGCTCTAGCCCAATATATGGAATAGAACAATAAACAAACCTAAAAACTGTGGAAAACGCTCCTAAATCAATAAAAATTCTTCAGCTTTCAACCGTTTCGTAAAGGCATGAGCTAGAAACAGAAGTATTTTAAGGCAAGGCTATATTTCCTGAACGAAATCTGTGACTCTATTCAGTGAAGCACCCGCTCCCTAGGCTGCCCCACAAGTAAAACAAATTGTGGAAATGTTACATTTGTCTTCATCTTTTTTACTTAAAAAAAAAACAGCTTCTTACCCCTTTTTCCCAACTTTTCAGCATCTTTGTAGGGTAGCTGCTGCTATATCTCAATTTTCCTTAAGTCTGCAGGGTATAAACCCAGAAAGAGCTTTAGCAGCTACTGTAGTAACTATACTTCGCAAACTGCCCTGGCAACCGTAACTGAGTAGGTATCACGCCATGACCATAGGAAATGTCAGAACCAAACCATAAAGGAGGAACGACTGATATGGAAATTAAAACTCCACAGTTGGTATCTCTTACCATGAAGGATAATGCATGAGTGACACTCCTACACCTTTTCTCCAGTCTTCAATTTGATTGTCCCTAAATTTGTACCTCAAAAAGGCACTGAGCTGGCATCCCATTTCAGTGTTGCTCAACTGAGGTGGGCATTTCCAGTGTTGCAAAGCAGAGCTACAAAATAATCAGTAAGAGTTTTTAATTTATTTTCACTACCCTACAAGCCTTTATGCTTTGTTTGACCACTGAGCACTTTATTCAACTCCTTAGTTTTATTACTAATTTACCTCTTCAAAGCACAGTAAGTTTTATCTGGCAGTAATGTTTTCACACAAGACATTACCTATCTCCTCCTTCCACTTTTTCAGTACAACATCACAGCATATATATACAAGTGACAGCATCAATGCTAGTTATACATCTCTATTCAATTAGGTCAATAAGGTTTCTTTAAATGATATTTTACCCCTGATTGACTTGGTTGTGAAGATTTTAGGCATGTATTTTAGAGAGATAAAACAATTTTATTGACAATGTCTGCTTGACTATCTGGAAAAGGAGATCATAAAATAAAAATCTGCCAAAAGTGTATATTCAAAAGGCTATTTCATATTTTTAAATACAGACTATTCAAGCTCAAAGTTTAAATACAGACAGAGAATAATTGCTACAATTCCTCACTTACACATTTTGGGCAAGTATTCCTGTTCCTGTGTAGCATGTA